TGGCAAATGTCCTATGCCCAATGCTTTAGTTAGCAGAAATTAAAAAAAAAAAATCTAAGTTTTTTTTTGAACAAGAAATCATAGAGAAAAAGTCATCTCAAAAGACCAGCCTGTATTTCCTCCTGGTAACTCAATTACTGGCAGGATGTAAACGTTCCCTGAGGAAGGGTGTCACAGACTTGGGGTGTGTGTGCATGTGTGTGTGTGAAGCTTTCACAGGTACTGTGCAGGTGGCAAGAACAGATCTGCGCTGTGGGAGACTCCTGACATGTGGCTACTGCGCAAACCCGAGAGCACACAGCAGCACTTAGGCTCCTGTCTGTGGAGTGGCCACGCCCTTCCCTGGCTGTGGCTGGTAGGCTCGGGTCTAGGGTCTGGAGACACTGGGCATGTGCCCACGTTTCTCAGGGGTCCGTGTGTTAAAGGAAACACCACACAATGGGCGAGGGTGAGTCCGCTCTTCTGACTTGGCCTTACCCACCTCCAAGCCTTCCCAGGGCAGGGTGGAGGATGGGGTGGGCACTACGTGACCTCCACATCTTAGGATTCCTCTGATGCCCATAATTACTTCAGAGCCTAGGGAAGGGCTTGATCTCCCCAAATCTACAGTTAATCACTAGATATGACTGCCAAATTACCTTGTTGGAGCCCCAATACCAAGATTTTTTTTAAAGTTACAGTTTCTACTTCTGTAATTTACCATGTTCATTTGATTCATTTTGTGATTAGTTTTTAGGTTAGCATACAATCAACAGGTCTGCACACATAGGTTTTTAGGTTAGTATACAATCAACAGCATGTGCACACGTATGTGTGAGTATTAAAATCGTAACAGCTGTTCTACTTAAGCTTGGTAAGGCATCTTCTGTCACATGGTGTAGACTGCATTGGTGTTCATCCCCAAGAAAGACTGGAGCTGAGTGCACTGGAGCTGGAGTGGCTGTTTGTGTCACACTGAGGTACCAGTCAGGCACTATTTCTTAAGGTGAAGCAGCATAAATATTGACACAGTCTTCCAGCCTGCATTTCTGACTGCAGAAAGCGCAGAGGGAAACATCCCAGGAAGCCTGTGTGCAGCTCTTGCATGCAGCTGGGGATGGCCCCCAGGGGCACGCAGGGAGTCCCGGGGCTCCACTCATGCACAGCCTACCCCTTAGCTCTCCGAGGCTTCTGGTCTGTGGTATGTGTGAAAGAGGACTACGGGCAGCTTTCTTCAGGGCTGCGCAAGGGGCCCCATGGTGCAGACATGTGGGGCCAGCAGCTTTGAGGCTCGGGCCTTTGGCTGTCGGTTCACTTATACTGAGGACAGGGTGGAGGAGATGAGGAGGCAGGTAAGGTACTTCCTTGACTTCTGGCTACCATGGATGAACTGCACCCATCCCTCTATGGAAGGCCACAGCATCTGCCAGGGACACTTCCCTCCCCCACTCACTTCCTCTCCAGGTCCTATCTCATGTCTCCAGAGTCCCTTCGGTAAATCTGTACTGACCAGCCTGAGCACACCACCAGCTTTCCCCCTGACTGAATTAGCTATCAGTGGGGTTTTATCTTTTTTACACTATTAAAATGTTTGATTGTAGTTGTTTATTGCCATCATGGAAAGCGGAAGGCGGAGAGAGCATCCAGCTACCTCACAGATACTTTCTATAGCCCAGCTTCTTACACAGTGGGTCCATGACCCCAGACAATGGCCTTCTCTGGACTGCAGTGTTTACACTGTACGCTTATAAAAATATAAGGGACATACAGAAAACAAAGACTTAGTATTTTCCTACAGTCATTCCTCAGAGTGGCCATATCCAATCAGTCTATCTATGAAAACTGTTAGAATGCCTGGGTTTAAAGACTACCATTGGAGTTGCTGACTTGACTTCCATTAAAAATAAGATCATTCAATGCATTCTGGCTTAGGGTTGAGACAAATTTTCCAACAATTTCGAAAATGGCCCTACACACACTCTACTATTTTGTAGTATGTATTTATGCAAAGTGGCATTCCCAGCCCTGATGATTATAAAATCAAAACATCTATCAAGTCTGAAAAATGTTGAAGATGCTCTACATCTTGTGGTATCTGACATCCAGCCGAGATTTAATTTTTTATGCAAAAATAAAGAAGCATCCATCTCATGGGAATGCAGATGTGCTTTTGTCTCTTAAAAATGTTGTTTTTAATTTGTGTGTGTGTATGTGTGTGTGTGTGTGTGTGTGTGTGTGTGTGTGTGTGTGTCCGCGCGCGCTATGTATATGCCAGTGCCCTTGGAGGCCAAAAGAGGGCACTGGAGCCCTTGGAGCTGGCGCTGTGGGTGGTTGTTAGTCATCTAACATGGGTGCTGGGAACAGAACTCTGGTCCTCCAGAAGAGCAGCAAGTGCTCTTAGCAACTAGGCCATCCCTCCAGCCCCACTTTCATCTTTAATAAATATTAAAAATTATATTATACATCTGCAAAAGAATCATTTTAAAATACATTCATCATTTATTATTTATAGATCTGAATACCTATTTTCTCTCTCTTTATACCTGGGGCTGCAAAACCCTTTTTCAGGTGGAAATGAGTCCCAGAAGGGGGTCAGAAGCCCTGTGCTGGGGCACTGTGTGTATCTCAGATAGCAGAGATAAAACAGGAGGCCACGAATAGGGGACACTTGAGGGCACCAGCAGTTAGCACCACCCCGGAGTGAGCAACAGAAAACATGCTGTTTTCCTTCTTACATTTTTAAAGAGTTGATTTTTATTTTATGTCCATTTATGTTTTGCCTGCATGGATATCTGTGTTACTGGAGTTACAGACGGCTGTGAGCTGCCACGTGGGTGCTGGGATTGAACCCGAGTCTTCTGAAAGAGCAGCCAGTGCTCTTACCTGCTGAGCCATCTCTCCAGCCCCCAGAAACGTAGTCTCACAACCAAACAGCACTGTTAACAGAAGCGTTTGAGCAACTGGCTTTAATTGAGGGCAACATTGCTTGTCAGACTTCATGCTGTTGTCATCTAAGGAACAGAGAGGCCTAAAGACCACAAACGGCATGTCAACGGTAGAGTAACAGCACACAATCTGATGTACACATGCTGCACTCAGGAGGCTGAGGCAGGAGGATTGTGAGCTTGAGGCTAGCTGAGGCTCCATAGTGGGACCCAGACTCAAAAAAGAAAAGAAAAAAAAAAAAAAAAGGAACATTAAAATGTGGGAAAAACATTGCCATAGACTAGCTAACTACATACAGGCCTCATAAAAATGACATGCTGGAGGTGGGGCAGGTTAACACTTCCGGGGGAAATTATACAGATGGCTGTATTAGAACTTCCTTCCTATTAGAAACTGACAGTGAACTGAGGGGTAGTCTCCGCAGACCCATCCAAAACTTCTGAAGATGTGCTGCCCACTCATCCAGCCTAGCTTGAGACACTGTTGTGACTTTCCAATCTATGTGTTTCTGTGGTACCTATATGCTCAGGCATGCTCATGGGGAGGACACAGGACAATCATTCCTTAGGTATTGTACACCTTTTTTTTTTTTTTTTTTCCTTTTTTGCTTCTTTTAGGAGTAGGGTCTCTCACTGGCTTGGAAGTTGCCAAAGCAGATTAGGCTGGCCTTCCAATGAATGCCAGGGATATGCCTGTAATCCTGGTGCTAGTATTACAAACACATACCATTATGATTGGTGTATGTAGGCAGGTTCTGGGGCTCAAACTCAGTTCCCCATATTTAGAAGGCAAGCACCACAGAGCTACCCCCCAAAAGCTGCCATCTGTCTGTCTGTTAGGATAGTCACCCTATCCCAGCTTGATGGCACACTACTGCATAGCACCCACCAGATGACCCCATGAGTTCAGAAAGTCAGCGAAGGTTACTTTCCATATTCTTCCCAACACCCCATTGGCTGAACACACTACTGCTGGATTATCACAGGCTTGCTCTTACAGCTTTAGGCACAGATCATGTGTGTAGGTGACTGAAATGCATGTGAGCACCTGTAGAGAGAACTGGCCTTCAGTTGTGCTGACATTAAGAACAAACACCATTTGGAAACGTGTGACATGTTCTGAGACTTATTTGTTACCTGACAGGCACTTTAGGACACTAGTTAGGGAAACTCTTGCTTGGGTCCCTAGGCTGGAGGTTGGAATGGGTGGCAGTGCTACCATCTTGTCCCAGCCTCTCCGGTGGCTCTTGATGAGGTCTCACTAGCTCTCAGCGTTTGAGCAGAACCTTTCCAGTGGGAGCTAGAGTAGCAGCATCTAACCCAGTGCCTGTGCCCTTCAATGTTACTTTCCATGACTGCTCACATGGCAGAATCATCCTTATTTATCCCCAAATAAGAAAACTGGTCTTCACGGCCTAACCTTGTCAGCAGGAAGCTGCTGGGGACAGAACCGGATGAACCTTGGTGAAGGAGAAGAGCTTAGGGCCCTGCAAGGAACCCCAATCTGCGAGGCTCTGGACTCCAGCCTCCTCATGACGATACCCAAAACAACATGGCCCAGATCACAAATGATGGGGCACCCTGCTGAGCCTCACTGGTCCTCGTTGCTTGCTATGTGCTGGGGGCTCACAAAGCCTCATTGGGAGCAGCATCTTGCAATCCATACTTCTGGACACAGAAGGGGAATGTTCAGGGAAAAGCTTGGTGTACAAGGAAAGAGAAAGGATCTGAATGACAAGGTGGTCTCTAAGAATGGGAACCTTTGCTCAAGCCAAACTCTGTTACTGTCCATCTCACTAACAAAACATGCTGTTAATACAACAATGTTCTGAATTTTTGGTTTTCTTTTGAGTATTTAAGTTTAGTTCCATTCACACCTCCCATCTTTGTGTGCACGTGTGTGTATGTATGCATGCACATATCTCCACATGCACGTACAGAACAAAAACATACTCAATTCACTTGTGGAAGCCACTTCAGAAGGTCCACACCTGGCCATCAGGTAAATCGCGGTCTTCATGAGCAAGGACATTTCCGCAGTACAGACGCCCACCCTGGCAGCCTGGGGACCCTTACCTTCAGCTGCGCCCGAGAGCCCGTCAGCCTTGAAGTTGCTGGTACTTTTCTTCCTCCGGTGTTTCTTTCTGTTGGCGTGGGGGGACGGGGGCGGGTCGAGCTTGGGGCTGGTGCTGCTGGAGATACTTGGGCTGGAACACACCGAGTCACCCAGCCCCGTGTCTGCAACCGAACCAGAAAAGGCAAAAGAACGCAAAGGTGAGCTTGGAGCGCAGAGCGAAGAAAAGGAGGCGACCCCCACTTGAGCAATGTCCTCCAGCAGTAACACATGAGATCTTTCCATCTTTCCTGAGACAGGTGCACACAAGGTGGCTGGGTTGGAGGCCTGGGGCTTCGGCAGGGAACAGATCTAGGCACAGATCTAGGTGACCATGTGCACCTCCCAGCCCAAAGCAGGCACTGGAAATCCTCTGTTTCTGGCAACTGGACTCCTGGAACCTCACAGGCTCACACACGACATCAGGGACAGCTGGATGGCGAACTTCGGATTCTGAGTGTTCCCTCTCCTTCCCTTACAGACCCTGATGTACCAGGAATGAGATACTGACACATACAAACCCACGGAGAGACCTGTCCTGAGTGGGTGTAACCTGCACACAAAGCGTGAACAATTCCTGACTTCCTTCTCTCTGCAGCACTACACGCGGCTGTGACTTCACTTTGTCATCAGTGGGAGGTGGCACAACACGCCACAACTCTCATCAACAGCCTGCAGGAGTGTCTCCAAGCCGGTACCGTACAGCTGCAGGCGAAGAAGAGCCCCTCTGGCTCGGCTCCAGAGAGGCTTGAAAGCCAACGTGCAAATCCAGTAAGTAATTCACGTTAAATAAACTCAACTTATTTACTTTATCTTTACCAAAAAGAAGGCCAAAGTGGCGCTAGAAGACTGGGAAGAGTCAGAATGCAAGGGCACAACGGTACACCGAGCAGGAGACAGGAACATGGGTGGCGCACCTCCCCACACGCCAAGTTTTCAGTCCTTGAGTCATGATTTAGGAGTCTTGTACCCACGGACAGAGAGGCTCACACTGGCTCCTGTCCGCTTGGCTCCTGCTTTCTGAATACCGCCAGCCCTAGAAGCTGGGGATCCAGCCCTGAAAAACCATTCCGAGACCCCTCGGACAAGCACCACAGCGCTCGCGAATGGATACCGACCACCACCTTCTGGTCTATCCCCTGACGCTGCCCCCCTTCCACTCCTACCAGGCTCCAGCATTTCCAGCTCACACAGCTGGTTCCTCTCCCGGGGTGATCTGCACCCCAGGGACAGCCGGCAGTCCCGAGCCCCACTTCAGGCTGTGGGGGGCAGGCTGCTGCAGTGGTGGTGGTGAGGATAAGGGCTGAAATGAAAACAGTGGCCCCTAGCTGGGCACGGTGGCACACACCTCTAACCGAGCACTTAGGAGGCAGAGGCAGGAGGAGCTGAGAGTTCCGGAACAGACTTGTCTACACAGTGAGACCCAGGCTCTCTAAAACAACAAAACCTACCTACCTACCTACCTACCTACCTACCTACCTACCTACCTACCTACCAACCACCAGCCAACAAACCATCACCACCAAAACCAAGAAACAAAACAAAGCAAGACAACTTCCCAAACAGCCTGTCCCCAAAACTCCCATCTGGTCCCTAGGACAGGTGCCAGACTCCAAGATGGTCACCCACCATTGAGCTCCCCTTCTGCAGCTCTCCCGTGCTTGACGGTGAACACTTTTGCTCTTCTTAAGTATTTCATGCACAGATCTAAAAAGATGACCCCGCCCGCCCACCCCATGCCAGGCCCACTGACAGTGAGTGGTCCATGCCATCCTGTGCCCCACCAGAGGGCCCACTCATCAGGCAGGGAGGCAAAGCCACTCACTGTTCCTCTCCAGAGACATTCCCATGTCACAGCCCGAGTGTCCCACTGTCCTGTCGCTTCAGCTCTCTGTGACTGCCATGCCAGCCATTCTTCCTCCTCGGCTACCAAGTTACATCTCTAGTCCAGGGGTCTGACTGGGGACACTCTGCACTTGGCTGTGGGTGGTCTGAAGCTAACTAGAGCTTCTCCAGGGCAGCGGTGGCTTCTCTCCCTGGGGGGTCCTGTAATGCCCAACACAGCGGGGCGGAGAATTGTTACTAAACTACCGTCTGCTACCCGACACAACACCAACATCTCTGTGAGACGATTAGAGCACACGCACGAACACTCCCACACATGGGCTCCAACCCCATCCCTCTGTCCTCTGAGGGCTCTCGGCACAGAGGCAATGCCGAGGGCTGTGGCTCTGGAAGCTTCCCCGGTTGTGATGCACAACTTCCTTAGCAGGTCTCGGTTGTTCGGAACACAAACCTCTACGTCCACAGCTGAGTCACAGTCCCGAGCAGGGTGCGGTTGGGACAGGCTCACACCGCCACTAGCCCCAGTCCACACATGGAGGCGTCTAAGAAGCAGCGCTGAGCTCAGACAAAACACTCGCCTCTGTCTCCTAGCCACCTGCTGCAACGAATAATGGAATGGACGTATGAACAGCTCTCCCACAACGTGCCTCTGAACTCGCCAAGGAATAAACGGAGCAAGGGGACACATACCTATAATCCCAGAACCCAGGAGGCTGAGGCAGGAGGAAGACCATGAGTTTGAGGTCAGCCTAGGCCACACAGCTGTTACCAGGCCAGTGAAGACTACCTCGTAAGACCCTGCCTCAGAAACAAAATAAAACAACAAGAAATGAAATGAAAACCAATAAACCATTTTTTCAAATACTACCCCGAAGACCAGAGGTACCCAACTTATACAGTTTTGCTAACCAAGAAAAAGGGGCACAAATTCCAGTTTTTCCTCTTAGTGAATCGTCTCTGTCAAATGAGTCACCTTTTTCTGTGTGCCTGCACATGCCCATTTGAAAACCTGGGCAGGCCTTGAACTCACAGGCACATGGATCAGAATTTTCCTTTCTTGGGATGAAAAGCAAATGTGTCTGTCTCCAGGCAGCTTCTTCCCTTCCTTCCACAGAGAGCCTTTTCTAAGATAGCAGGGGAGCACACCTTCTCATCTCCAGGTGCCTCAGTGTCTACAGATTGTCATTATTCTGGCACAAAGTCTTGACTTTCATGGAGGCGTGGCAAGTGGCAGGTCTTGAGAAGGTGATAATCCTGGCAAGAAATGCCACCCACCTTCTCGAGAGCCCAGCGGGTCAGGGCACTGATTTGCCCTGCACTCTGGCTTCCCCCCACAGGCGTCCTTCAGCATGGTGCTTCTGGTCTGTTCCCAGCATCTCTGCTGGTCTAGCTAGCTCGTTCTCAATTAGAAGCTCCTCCCAGGCCCCCACGGCAATGCTCTGAGACAGAGGTGAAAACCGCAGTGAGCAGGGTAGTGGTACTACCGGAACCCAACATCCCGAGAGGTTGGGAAGTGCCCTTCCCAGGACAGCCCCAGTTCACGGGGCCCGGTCAGGACGGTCCCTCTTCCTTTGGACATCCTGACTTACAGGGCACTGTCTTCTTGGAAGGCTCGTTTCCACTCTATACTCCCTGGAAGCCAGCTCCCCTGGAGACAGGACTCCTGTCGTTCACACTTGAAAAGTCGAGGCCCTTTCTTTAAGCCTAACCCTCTGGAGCTATGCCGCTGCATGATACTCTACGGATGCCGGATGCCGGGTCAGGAATCCTCCAATTCCACAACAGCTCCTCAGGCTCCCTGTGATGCCACTCTACCTGCCCAGGTGAAGTCTGGTCCCCATCCCTCCCCCTGCCAGGCCCTTTCCTTCCTGATTCCTCAGCAGCCCCCCCCCCCTTCCCTGGTGTCCTCGGGGCTCTGCCAGCTACCTCTCCGACTCCCACAGCTCATCCACTCTCTCACTCTTACCGTCGGACCTTCGTGGCAGGTCCCAGCATCCTTCACTACCGGAATCATCTTTGAAAACTCAGCTTCCCAAGTTTCCCTCCATGGTTCCTGACAGGAAGCCTAACTTCACCTACTTTTCTTTTTAGGGCCATGGAGACAGCGTTCTGCGGATTCTGGGTCCCATGTGCCTGGGTCCCTTATGCACCAGGACCCCTGCTGCCCTGAGCTTCTCACACTTCAATTAGAAATCCACCTGCCACTTCCCTAGATGCTGGTCCATGGCTTCTCCTGTTCCTCCTGCATCCCTCACATCACTCCAACCCCCACCATCTAACTGAATGAACTTTCCCTCTCCTCCCTCCCCCACCTCTTTCGAAACAAGCACCCCACTTCTCCCCAAGGCTGGCAAGCTCTGGAACTCCTCATCCTGTGAGCCGGGGCCCACTCTAGCCTAGATGGTAACTTTGGTCCCAGCATTTCATCCCTCCCTGCCGGCACTGGACATGCCAGACTCCCTCCGTCCTCTTAGGGGGTGCCTCCCTTGCCCTCCCTCCCTGCCGGCACTGGACATGCCAGACTCCCTCCAGCCTCTTACGGGATGTCTCCCTTGCCCTCCCTCCCTGC